GAATGATCGCCTTAGAACTATACATCAAAGAGCTTGTCTTTTGGTGGTGCGATATGCCTATAGAACACCGGGGAACTCGTTTGGCCACTTACCCTTCTTGTCCAATGGTAGAGCTCATTGCTGCTCAGATACCACCATATAGATGCATAGGTCATCCGCTGCTTCTGGTTTAGATTGCATTCGTCGGTAGGTCGTGAGAGGAATCAGTTGAGTGCAGCTGCTTGTCAGGTCAGACCTTGGATCTCCTTCAGAGTGGTGGGGGACTTCATATCCAAGTGTCTATCTGAATCTTCATCTTCTTTAAACAAGGTAAAATGTGGGGGGCTGAACTTCCGCGATGGCTCCGTCTACTCGATCTCGTCTACAAAGGGTGACCTATTTAGGTTGGCCACGTCTCTTCGAAGAGCATCGTCGGTAGTGTCAATGCGCTAGAAGCCACACAGCTGCTCTGCTACAAGCCTTTGTACTTCCTCCTGGATTCGTGCCTGGTAAGGCAGTGGAGTCTCTAGCTGCCCCCGATGTTGACCTGTTGGTCTATGTTGCTATTCGACATATCCTGCTCGTCCATGTTGTGGTTGCGGTGCGCATGGTTTGCCCTGCGCTGCTCGCCGTCGCTCTAGGCAAGGGTTGCCAGTAGAACTTGAGTTGGACTACTCTCGTGCTCTTCTCTATACGTTATGCGGTTGCCTACTCCGTTGCCTCTTTAGAGGATCTTCTTGTGGGCCTAACCTCTTGTGGAAGCTTTGCCTAGAATGTCCTGAGTGCTCGTCGGAGTGCATACCCAACCTCGAATGCACACTAACTCGTGAGCCGAGTCGGGAATGAACGCTTTTATGTGCATTTAGGTAAGAGATGACGTTTCCTCGAGGACCCAAATAAAAATGCACACTACTTGAAAGCACGGTTCGTGGTAGGCTGAGCAGCTCTTTATCGGGATGTTGCTGGAATGAGTTAAGTTCTTCTGCCCTTATCCTACTTCGGGACACCTCGTTTGGGGTGCGCTGCATCTCGATACGGTCAAGGAGTTGGTTCACCAAGGTGGTCTGTTGCGCGAGGGCGTTCGTCAAATTAGTGACCTGCTAGGGCAGGTGGTGCTTGCCATTTGGATTGGAAGAGTGTGGATGATGGGCGTCTCTATGTGTGGTGGAAGTATAATGGACTGCAGGTACAAAGTTTGAGCCCAAAATGGGCATTCATGTAGAAAAGTGGGGTATAGGTAACCTTGAATCGATCGCAAGACCTATGGTCAGAATCTGGATTGCTAGAGCTGGCCTTGGAATGGATTGGGTCGCGGACCAGGTCATTGGAACGAGTCACGGGGTGCGTTGGACCAGCGCTTGCTCGCCTTGGGCTTGCATGGCCGTAGACCCTCCTGGTCGTTGGGCTGCCACATCATGTCCTGCTGGCTGAATGGCTTGGCTTGGGCACGTTGAGTTGCCTGGTTGGCAACAGCTGCCGCATTTTGGGCTCGAGTCTGGGCCTGCTGCTGCATTAGGTTGGGCCTCCTGCCTAGGGTTTGGTAGGGTGCAGAGTTGTAAGGGCATCGGTGGTGGGAGTGGCGTCGTGGCTGCTAAATCACAGTGGTGATGGTGGTGGCACGTCTCCACTGTGGTTGGGCTCCTCCTACCGCCGTGTTCAGCCTTGAGGACCTCCGTCGTAGGGCTATGTCCTTGTCTTCACTCTCCGGTCCAAGTCCTTACACGTATAAGGTTTCATTCGTCGTAATTTCTGAATTTCTTACAATTGTATCCTTTTTCCAGGGATTGATCAAGAAACTTTTCTAGGAAAAATTAATTGATACGATGTGTGAGAAATTCAACGTAACAAAAAATTCAAGAAACTAATGCAAGAGGTTTCTTCGAGTATTTTGAATCAGTTCTCAATGAAAGCACCAATTTGTCGATACAAATTTCCGTCGTCTTCAGTCTTGATGAAAATGCACCTGCAAAACAATCAACATCTTTAATCAAAGACCTAAGCCTCACGTGCCCACGAGGTAAGGGGTTAGGTCAACGGATCTCCGATGCCTAAGTTAGTTTTTCTGAGAGAGTAAAGTGTTTAGGGCTTTTTTAGGGTTGCAAAAGCCCTCCAAAATTTGGTAGAATATGGGATATTTATAGGGCTAGGGCCGGCCATATAGTGTTTAATGGAGAGATATTCTTTAAATATTCCCAAGATATCAAATAGGAAATAATATCTTGAGATAATGGTGTAATTATCCCTAATTGATTTAAATTAGGATTACTTACTTGTTGGAGTCAATCTTCAATTAGGAATGTATTAAATATAGGATTTGAGTAATTGATCATTATCTTTAATTCATTGCCAAGGACAGGTGAGTTGTGAGCAGTCGTATCCAGCTGCTGAGACCTCCAGGGGTGTGAGCTGCGCGTGGGAGCATCTGAGAAGCCTACTCATTTATTGAGAACAATCTTGTCTTTCTTGAATAAAAGTCCACGACCTCAAGAATATTTGGGATTATTTTAGGCTCCACAATATAATAGGAGTGAATTTGTAATATGACATGCGTCAGTTCACTAAATTAAAATTATTTTTCCAATGTATTTGAATTATATTAAAATAGGGTAAATTACATTTTACCCCCTCAGGTTTGGAGTCGATTTCAATTCCTTACAACATCTTTAAAACATTTCACTTTCATACCTCAAGTACTATTTTATTTCAATTTCATACAACTGTTAAAAATTCTGTTAAGTTAACCGTTAAGTGATGACGTGGCAAATATGAGGTCCTCATTCGTGCTGATGTGGCTGATACATTTATGCCACGTGGATAAACACTTAATAAAAATGTTAAAATATTAGAATAATTAATTAAAGAAAATTATAAAATTTATAAATAAAGGGAACTTTAACGAAAAGCACCTGGTACTGTTCACTTTAACGAAAAACCACATTTTTACACTAAAAAGTCAATCCTGGTACTATTCACTTTACCCTTTATTTTGTCCTTATCATTAAAACTCAAAGTTTTCAAGCCCTTTTCATTAATTTTCCTATAAATAAAACCCAAAAGTCCCTTCGTCTTCCCCACCCCTTCCTCCCACCAGAGCCCATCCCCCTAACACCCACGCCTTTCTCCCATCTCGCATCACCCGAGCCTCCCCCGCAACCTTCAATCTCCATCTTGCTTCAGATCCATCAATCTCCATCCCAGAAGCCAAAAACTGGAAAAGTTCCAAATTTTCCCACACTCAACAGAACACAAAGAAATCCAAACATTTCCTACCCATTTTCTCTCAATTTCCCTCTAACCAAACACACCCTGTTGTCTTTCGAAAGAATATGCAAAGCCTACCCATTCAATTTCAAATCCTCAAAAACCCAGCAAAACTAAAAAACCAAAAAACTAAAATATCCAAAATTTTCCCCTCACCCTATATCATTTTCTCAGCAACCAAACACAACCCAGAATCCCAATTAAAAAAAAAGTCTTTCAAATCAAAATTCACTAGCAGCAACCCTCAAAAGTGCTCTCCAGACCCTCATATTAGTCTGCTCCGAAACCTTCATCTGAACTCTCACGACCTCCTAAATCGTCCTGGTCCACTAACTCTTCCCCTGGCTCACTGAGTCACCGCCACCGAGTCTCCTGCCAAACGACGACTTCAAACCCAGTGCCTTTTTGACCCTGCTCGCCATTGACGACATGAGTGAAGTCAAAACACTCCAGTCGATCTTCTCGGACTTTGGGATGTAGGTGAGAGGTTTGGGCTCGAAGATCCGGCAGGCTTTGACTAAGATCTCATATACAGTTTCCCGGAGCTTCGAGTCCGAGAGAGAAAGGGGCTCGAAATTAGGGATTTGAAGAGAGCAATTTACATTTAGTTGGGTGAGCTTAGGGTTTTTGTACAGAAGCACCGCAGCTTCAATCGAAGTCCTAAGACGGTTTGGATTCCGGGTGTGAGATGTGAAGAGGGAGGATTGGGTTTCCAAGGAGAGATAAGGAAAGGGAGGTGAAGAGAATGTGGGAGATGGAGGTGGATCGGGGGAATAGGTTTTTAGGTTTCAGGGTTTTTTTTTTTTTAATAGGATAAATTATTATAATAATTTAAATGCATAAAACATTATTATTTTTGCCACGTGGCACACATTTGGCAGCCACGTGGCACAAATATGGCAGTCACGTCAGCTCTTAACGGATCAATGGATGGAAAATGTAACGGATGTATGAAATTGAAATAAAATAGTACTTGAGGTATGAAAGTGAAATGTTTTAAAGATATTGTAAGGAATTGAAATCTACCCCAAACTGAGGGGGTAAAATGTAATTTACCCATTAAAATATTCATGTTGTTTTGTTAGTTATTATCTAATAATTATAGGATGTCAAGATATCAAGTTTAGTGGTATCTCACCATAATTTTCTAGTAAGAAACAAAACTCTTACATGTTCAAGCAAACGTAAGTGTAGTCACGCTGTTTAAAATATGTGTTCCTTGTGCATTCGAGTTAGCCAATCCCAAAACACTTGTAGAGAGACCGAAGGCTGAAAGCCAAAGAACAAAAATCAGCAACTTGCCACTTAGTGGAAACATAAACCTGAAAATAGGTAAACAGCAATGGTGCCACTGACTAAGTGGAGACAGCAATCATGCCACTGTGAGTGGACATATGAGCGGAGACAGCAATAATTTATTCATTCAGTCATCAGCGCAGGAACTTCTCTGTAAACTTCACACACTCCAGCTTTCTCTCTCAATAATTTACACACACTCCAGCTCTCTCTCTCTCACTAATTTATTCATTCACTCATCAGCTCAGGAACCTCTCTGTAAACTTCTCCTCCACACACTCCAGCTCTCTCTCTCTCCAGTTCTCTCTCTCTCTATCATCTTCTCCACTCCTCACTCTGTTAGTTCTATACAACTCATCCATCGCCTGGGGACTGACCTTGGGCTTTTCAGCTGCCAAGCAACTCCAGAATCTGTTCTGATCAAACTCAAAGTTGTAACTAAGGAGTTTGGAGAAAATAAAAAGATGATCAAGGTTGAAGTAATTCACAAAGAAATTATTAAACCATCCGCTCCAACTCCTCACCACCTTAGACATTTGTGCCTCTCCCTTTTTGACCAGATTATGCTTGAACTGCATGTGCCACAAGTTCTCTTCTATCCTAGCAGCAGTGATGAACATTCTTTGGTCGCTGAAAAGTCCGAGCTTCTAAAGAAATCATTATCTGAGGCCCTCACTATCTTCTACCCTTTTGCAGGGGAATTCAAAAATAACGTTTCCATCAACTGCGATGACCGCGAAGCTCTATTTCTTGAAGCCCAAGTCAACTGTCCCATGTCCAAGATCCTGGACAAACCCGATTCTGAGATCCTAACACAACTGATTCCAACTCCTATGCGTTCCAAACAAGCACAAGTAGGGCATCTTGTACTAGTCCAGGCCAACGTATTTGAATGTGGTGGATTGGCAATTGGCGTCAGCATTTCGCATAAGGTCGCAGATGCCTTAGCGAACAGCAATTTCATCGAAAGCTGGGCTGAAATTGCCCGCTGCACTGCCAGCAGTACTGACCATCACGTAGTACTTCCTACAGAATTTGGTGTTGCAGCTACTTTGTTCCCACCACAAGAATTTTTTAAGAAAAACCCCATCACGCTACCTATTATTGACAATGTTGTCAGAAAGAGGCTTGTGTTTGATGCCTCAAAGATTGCTGCTCTCAAGGCCAAAGCTGCCAGTGCCACAGTGCCAAATCCGACGCGAGTTAAAGCAGTTTCCGCGCTCATTTGGAAATCCGCATTGGAAGCATCAAGATCGAACTTGCGTTTTGCAAGGCCATCCACATGGCGGTCCTCTGTGAACCTGAGGCTCAGCCCTTCGCAGAAAACTTACAAGGAAATTTTGTGTTTTTTACCATGACGAAGATTGAAGAAAATGAAGTATATGATCTTCAAACCTTGGTTGCAAAAATGAGGAAAAGCGTCGAGGAATTTAAGGTAAAATATGCCAATGAAATTAGAGGGGAGGAAGTAGTTCAATTCCTGAAGGAGTATAGTGAGCTCCTTCAAAAGGATGATATGGACAACTATATTTGCACCAGTTTGTGCAGGTTTCCCTTCGGCTCGGCCAATTTTGGATGGGGAAAGGCATCATGCATACGCATCCCTTGGAATGAAGATTTCAAAAACAAAATGTTATTGTTGGATGCAAGTGATGGTATTGGCATCGATGCATGCATAACACTGAAAAAAGAAGATATGGTCATGATTGAAACCAACCAGGACCTGCTTGCATATGCTTCTCTGCAATAGACCATTTCTGAGAGGTAAACCTCGTCTTATCTTTCTCTATAATTACTTAAAAAATAAAAAGTGTGCTTCCCGAAGTCATTGGAGATTCAAACTATAAATATCTTTCAAATGACGGGAAATAAAATGCAACTAAATTAAGAGCTAGTTGCGAGTGTTCTTGAGCATTTAGAATTTGTTTGGATGCTATGTTGTAACCTTTGGTGATTTCTTTTGTTGCTTTTGATTCCACAATTTCCTTGTTTTGTGTGAACAGTGAGTAATGTATTGCTTTTACTATCGACTTTATTTTTCTTTCAATAAAATGGATTTGTTTTGTTACGTATACCTAAGAAAATATAGATCCCTAACAAAAGAAAACGAAAAGAATGCTGAGAATGCTTTTCTATGAAATAAAATAAAATAAGACAGAGTGACTAAGAATGCTTTCAAATAGTTTTTATTTAATTCGAAGTTCATAAGTAAACATAAGTGTGAAAAACACATCTCATCATGATTTGTTAAGTGCATTAAAAGCATTTCCTTTGGTAAAAAATGAATCTTGAAAAGTTTGCAACATGATGAACTTTTACCAACGGAAGTTGTGGTAGCTGGGAACGAATATTGTGGTTGGGCATGTTGAATTGTGTTTGTCTAAACTACGAGTCAAAGTAAGCTATTTTTAGATCTGTTCTAAATTTTGGTAAACAACGGGCTAAAATAATTTGATAAAAATTGAGAGTTATTTTATTTTATTTTATTCTTATTTAACGGAGATATTTCATGAAAATACCAAAATGATTGATAGTGGATAAACTTATAGGCCAGTTCTATTGATTTTAAATCTCAATGACCAAAGTGAGGAGATATGCCAATCTCAGGAATTATTAAGCTAAAAAAACATAAATTAAATGTGAAATTCTCAAGTACCTATGATTGAGCTAAATGACTAAAACCTGACCCTTCCATTGTGGCCAGGTAGGACCTAGACCGCTAGTGGGTCACGGTTTTTTACTAGATTTTCAAGATAGAATTTCTTCTATGACAATGACTTCATCACTAATTTAAGGACATAATATGTTGAAGAATGTAAAGTTTCACATCATTTTTAATTAAATACAGTTTACGTTAATTGGTTTTGCTGCTAAGTGTATTGAACCTTTTGTAAACTGAACGCATACTAAATTGCACTAATGATTAAGTTGGAAACAAACGTTGAAGTTTTATTTTTTTTGTTGAAAATAAAACTTCATTAGTGAAAGGGGAATTACAATTTGCTGAACAGGCCTAAGCCTAAACAAAACACAGAACCCTACACAAACAAAGCAATACATAAAATAGAAGACAGGCCCAACAAGTAGAGCTACAATCCAGGACACAAAGGAATGTCTACACAAACTTAGGCTCACAAGCAACAAAAGAAAAACAATAATAAAGCCCTAATCTCCAGCAGCAAAACACCAGTCACCACCGTTGCTACCTCCGCAAAGAAACATATCACCCCAAATTGGTAAAAAAAAAAAAAAACACCCAAACCAAAAGTTAGACTAAGAGCATTGTGCAAAACCAATCCACTAACAATTATAGCCTCCACAATCACACATGCGAGAAAAGTCACAAAGTGTAACAGAAGGAGGGGAGGATGAAGGACAAACATCAATGTTGATGTTGATTAGAATCTTTATATATAAAGCCAACAATTACTTCTGGGGTCACAAGCTTCACCAAAAATAAGTGGACAGAAATGCCCCTTAAACAAAAAACTTCAAAAACTGCTCAAAATAATGCATCAAATGTGGCAAGAGTATTTTCATCATTTTAATAGTGTTTTTGAGCATTTAGACTATTTCTGAGAGGTAAATCTCGTCTAATCTTTCTCTATAATTACTTAAAAATAAAAAGTGTGCTTCCCAAAATCATTGGAGATTCAAACTATAAATATCTTTCAAATGTCAGGAAATAAAATGCAACTAGACTAAGAGCTAGTTGCCAGTGTTGTTGAGCATTTAGAATTTGTTTGGATGCTATGTTGTAACCTTTGGTGATTTCTTTTGTTGCTTTTGATTCCACAATTTCCTTGTTGGGGTGTGATATCCACACACCCTTGTTTACTTCTCTCACACCTTTTTGGTTTTCGGTCGTCGGATCGGATGAATTAAAGAAGATCAACGGACAGAAATTAACGAGGGGTGTGTGAGAAGTAAAAAAGGGTGTATGGATAGCACACCCCTTCTTTGTTTTGTGTGAACAGTGAGTAATGTATTGCTTTTACTATCGACTTTATTTTTCTTTCAATAAAATGGATTTGTTTTATTGCGTATACCTAAGAAAATATAGATCCCTAACAAAAGAAAATGAAAAGAGTGATGAGAATGCTTTTCTATGAAAATAAAATAAGACTGACTGACTAAGAATGCTTTCAAGTAATTTTTTATAACTAATTTTTATGTTTATCGGAAGGAACACAAGATTACAACACGTGTGATAATATGATGGACGATTGGGTTGATAAATTCTATTTTAAGCAAACTCATATAAAATGGGTTCACCACCACCCGAAAATCCCTGTTGTAAAACGATGGCCTGAAACCTGCTGGATTCGAATTGAGAATGGCTCACAATCACGAGGAAATTAGAGACTAGGATAGAGAAAAGGAGGGAGAAAAGAGGCGTGATGAATAAAGGGTAAAGCGAGAAGATGAGTTGATTTCGTCAATTCTGCTTCACCGTGAGGGAGGCATGTGGGCAATGGGGGATCCAAGATTTGAAACTTGGGTGTCCCAACATTAAAGGTTCACGTTTTTTAAAGAAACAAACGCATAGCGCGTTAAAAAAAAATCATTTTATTCAACTGAGGCATTTCGTCGAACACTTAGTGGCTTTATTGACAAAACCAAACCATGTTGCCTATATGTCAACAAGTTACGATATATGTTGAAGCAATCTGATCAATGTTATCAAGAATATATGCCGAGTGATGTTGATGCAGCCTGTCGAGATATGGGTATCAAACAATCGAAGGGTCTTCAGAGACCTTTATATGCTTGTTTTCCACCCTCCGACTAGTCCTAGGACCATTTTGGTTCCAATTTACATCCACCCTTGTGGTGGGTGGAGTTCAAGAATTCTTGTTGTGGTGTGGCTTTTTTTTTATCCACTTTTGTTTCTTATATTTTGTTTTCTTAAGTAAATGACTAAGGGTGTGCTATCCACACACCACTTTTTACTTCTCACACACCCACTAATTTTCGACTTTCGAATCGAATGAATTGAAGAAGGTCAAATGACATAAATTAAGAAGGGATGTGTGAGAAGTAAAAAGGAGTGTGTGGATATCACACCCCAATAACTAATGTTGATGTGGGAAAAATATGATTGGCTAATATCATTTTAATGTCATCTAGACATCACAATCTAATAGTCTGGTGTAATCTAAGACTAATATCAAAGTATAGAAGTAAAGATAATTATGTGAAAAACATCTCATCGTTATAAGTTAAGGGGAGCTAAAGTGGTATTTGAGATTAGGAAAACTCTCACTTTAGTCTTGATAATAAAAATTGATAAAAATGATCTGGTCATGAAAATTATTTTTATTTTTACGAGAAAAATTTGTCAATCTTCTAATAACTGTTTTATGTAGTATTCATCAGGGGAAAAAAAGAAGAAAGAAAGAATGTCATAACTCATAATCCGCCAATTACACCGCTACCCTCCGCCGTCTCACCCAACTCTAAAATACCTTTTTGGCTAAGTCAAACCAGCAGCAGCAGCAGCACGCCTTATCTCACTCTAAGCTCCCTTTGGTTCTCTCACTTGCCGTCCCTCCAGTTCGTCAAGTTCGGACCTTTGGCTTCACAAGGCGAGACAAAGACGGCAAAGATGGTGGAGAATGAGCTTCAGGAGGCCGAAGAAGTTGAGGTATTGTTTACTTATTTTATTTATTTTTCCTGAAAATTTTTAGAATATTTTCTTTTGTTAAATTTCAGAAATGTTTTGAGTTATGGATTGAGAAATTGCAGTTTATCAGCAAACTAGAAAACAAACGAACATGAGATTTTATTTATTTATTTATGGACCAATTGGATAATGTTTTTTTTTTTTTTTAAAAAAGATTTTTGCACACCATTTTACTTCATTTGCATATCTTGTTTGTTTCTGACATCTGAATTGAATAAATCAAAGGAAAATGATGAATCAAAAATTCTGAAAAAGAAAATCCTTCTTAAAATCTTTTGAAGATGGGAAAATAGGACTTGAAATGAAAGTGGCTTATCTGTCTGAAGAACAATACTTGACTACTTAAAGATAAGTAGGAACTCCTACTTAATTTCTCAAAATTGTTCGTTGTCAATTTATAGAACTTCGTGTTTATAATCAAAACCGTTCATATTATAAATCACCATACAAAGATCGTCTCTGTGAAAAATCAATTAAAACTATGGTCGTTAGTTCATCAAACAATTTAAAAACAAATGAACGGTATTGGTAAAAGCATTATGAACCGTCTATGTATTTGTTACAATAGATTGACTAAACGATCTTAGTTTTAATTTATTTTTTGCAGAAATGATCTTTACAGTGCAATTCATAGTATGAACGATTTTGATCATAAGCACAAAGCTTCGTGATTAAAACACTAAGAATTTTGAGTAAGAGTTCCTACTCATCTTTGAGTAGCCAAGTATTATTCTTACTCCCTATATTGCCAATTGGTTTTATAGTGAAACCTCAATTTTTTTTTATGATATCAGAGCATGTTGTTCCACGTCTGAAGCCAAACGGTCACACGTGTTCCAAATCGTCACGTTGTGTTGTTCACTTGTTAAACTTAAAAATTCACTACACTAAAAGGAGCATGTTAGAATAAGTTACATATTGATGAAAGAATGACCTTACAGTGAGTTTATAAGAGATTTGACTACTCCTTATATTAAACCAAATGAATTTATAATAGAACTTCAACTTCTTGCACCCTCATTAACCATAAATCCACATATATCCTTTTACAGGACACATCAATTACACTAAGGCAAGTGAAACCACCGAGAAGGGAATCGAGTCAGCTTGAAGACAACATATTTGAGTCTAGTTCAGTTTTGAAACATAAATTGTAACTTCATTTGTACGTCAATCAGTAGGGTAGTAAATTTTGGTGGGTGTGGCTGTTTCTGGTGATGGCCTATTACTGTCAACTTTCTTTTCTATTGAGATAACGATACCGCTTTGAGGGAACCATCATTTTTTTATTTTTATTTTTTTAACTTTGACGAAACGAGATAAATTTATTGATATGATAAAAGAAATTAAATTTAGTTACCAGAGACATAAATTTTACTTTTCATAGAACAAGATAAACAAAATACAAGAAAAAAGGCAGGGCATACATCTTACCCCTCTTGAAAATAAAAATATAAGAAAAAGAGGGGCATGGACTTTACCTCTCTTGAAAAAGAAGAGTAATGCTACGAAGATTAAATTTGTAAACAAAATTTGCAAATTAAATAATATGTCATCAATAGAAATAAGCACGTTTATCAACGCTTAGGTAATTGTCTAATCATCATCTTTTATGTCATTTAACTTATTAAATTTTGTTTGCAAATTTAATCTCTCTAGCATTATATGTTTGTTTTTATGTTGTTATAACATGATCGGTCATTATTTCTGTTAAAATATTCATGTTTAAGTTGTTATTTTAATATTAATATAATAAAATACCAAGACAAATGCTTGGTGTGTAAGAGGCCATATCTACCAGCTTTAGTTGGGAATAAAGAGTTAGGTCATCTCCAACCGAAGGGTCCAAAGGGCTGAAAATAGCCCGAAAACCGTCTCCAACTTAGGGCCGAGCCAAAGGGTTTGTGAGCCCCATGGGACAAAAAATGGCCAAAGGGCCAACCGGCTAGCCCAACCTAGCTAGCCAGCTAGCCCCAGGCTAGGCCACATTTTCAAACACAACTGCTAGCTGACGTCAGCGTGACACCAACTAACAACGGCTAGTTGATGTCAGTTACCGTTGGATTTGAATATTTAAAAAAAAAAATATTTCCGACCAAAATTTTTAATTTTTTTTTTAATTCTCATTTTTTTCCTATAAATACCTAAATCATTCCTACATCATTTGTCACATAATTTTCACCATTCCGTACTATCTCACTTCATTCTATTTTCTTACCTCTTCCAATAATCTTTCCTTCAAAATTTTCAATAATTTTCAAATGGCCTTATCTGCAATGAAAGGTAGGGCTTGGACTCGAAAAGAAGATGAAGTTCTTTGTAGGGCTTATAGATGGGTCTCGGAAGATAGTGTGAGGGGGACTTCTCAAACAAGTGAATGTATTTGGACTCATGTGTCCAAAAAATACTATGAGTTCTACGAAGGCATCACTTAACCGAATACCCGAAACCACGAGAGTTGTTTTTCAAGATGGAAGAAACATTTTCATCAAAGTTTGAATAAATGGCATCGAACACTGATAGCAGCCGCAAGTAGACATGAAAGCGGCGCCAATTACTACGATGAAGTAAGTGTTTTCACAATTTATTTTAAATATTTAATTATATTACATTTAATTTCATAAATTAATTTCCTTTAATTTTTGTAATTATATTTTCTAGGTACGCCAAGCGGAGGAATTGTATATGGATGGCAGCTCGAAACCCTTTCAATTTCCCGGTTGTTGAGAAATTATAAAGGATGAGTGTTATTTGAAGATCCACCTCAACATAGAGTAAGTCCTATGTTGTTCGGAACTCAATCCTCAGCTGTAGATGGGGATCAAGATGAATCTCTTACCATTCAAGAAACAAGGGTAGAAAATCCGTCTTCGGGTGAAGGTTCTATATCTAGGGCTATGTGACGAAATAAGGCCCGAAGGTTGAAGGAAAAGGGTAAGGCAAAGAATGATTACGTTGTTCAACAGGAAGTGGTGGCCTCATTGCGATTAATGGCGGAGCAAAATGCATTTGCCACGAAAGAAAGGAACTTAGGCATGAAGAATATGCCAAACAAATACAAGAATAGATGGATGATAGGAATATGCAAAGGAACAATTTGGATTACACTATAATGAGTAACGCCTATTTTGATAGGAAAAAGAGGAAAATTATGACCCGGCGACATTTGTTTATCTTCGACTATACTCCTACAATGACAGATGATGAAGATGATATTGATTATGAACTTTAAATTTAAGTTGTTGTGATTTTTAAATATAAGTTGTGGTTTTTAAATTTAAATAATAAATTATGTTTGACCCTATGATCATTTGCCTCTCAGTTAGAGATGGTTTTTTTATCAAGTTATCTCCAACAGACTCGACCAGAGAGTTATAAGCTAAAAATAGTTCGTTTTGACGCGAAAACCATCTCCAATCTAGGGGCTAAACCTAAGGTCATCTCTAACCGAGGGCTGGCCAGAGGGCTCGTTTTAGCCCTCTGGCCCTCCAAGATTCTCCAAGATATTAATATTTTAATGAACAGTACAGGGTCATATTTGCCTCCGTCTCCAACCGAGGGCCAGAGGGCTCGTTTTAGCCCTGTCATAAAAAACTGTATCCAACCGAGGGCCATAGGGCCAAACATAATTTATTATTTAAAAACTACAACTTAATTTTATTTAAAAATCATGTTGGTTAGTGTTGTATAATTTTTGTGTTGGTTAATGTTATTTAATGTTGTTTCATATTGTTTAATGTTGTTTCATGTTACTTAATTTAATTTAATGTTGTATAATGGGTTAGAAAGTTATAGGAAAAAAATAGAATTTAAAAAAAATATGAAACAAATTTTGTGAAATAGAAGTTATAGAAAAAAAAATGGAATTTAAAAAAAAAATATGAAACAAATTTTGTAAAATAGAAGTTATATGAAAAAAATATGAACCAAATTTTGTAAAATATAAGTTATAGGAAAAAAATAGAATTAAAAAAAATTGAAACAAATTTTGTAAAATAGAAGTTATAGGAAGTTATAGAAAAAAATAAGAAAAAAAAAAGGTTTAAATTCATTAAAAAAAAAAAAGGTTTACAACGGCTAGTGGCGCTAGCCGTTGGAAGTTTGAATTCAAATTGTTATTCTGTCGGTTATAATCGACAGAAATGAGAAACATTAAAAAAAAAAAGCCAGCCCGGGGTTGGTTGGCTGACCGAAAGCAACCAGCCCTCCAGCCCTCTCCGATCCCGTGGGACCCTCCCAGATTCCCAAGCCCTCTGGCCTAGCCCTCGGTTGGAGACAGTTTTAGGGCTATTTTCGGCCCTCTGGCACTCTGGACCCTTCGGTTAGAGATGGCCTAAGGACTTATGGACCCCATCCGGCCAAAAATCTCAAAACAGGCCAACGGGCTGGCCAAGATCAACCAGCCAGCCAGCCCGCCCTCTAGCTTGCTTCATCTGCTCGCATTGGGGAACCCCTTTCGAAGTGTACCTGCTTTTGATTGTTATTGTAGGTTCCTTTTGTACACATTTTACAGATATAAACAAAAGTGTATATTGCAAAACAAAACACGGCAATTTTACAGATTTAAACGGCAGCTCTGAAAAACCTCTCGTTATGCACAACACATAAGCAACATCAAGGTCCAGCTCAACTGATTTCTGTGGATCATAAGGTGAGATACAGAGAAACATCACCCAGGAAAGTGCCATTGTGGTCACCGGCTATAACTCTGGCTGGAACTTCAAAGAGACCCAGAAATGGCAGCAACTCTTATGAGCGATTGTGCAGCAACGGAAGCTTCCATTTCAGCGAGTCTCCTCCGCAAGAACAGACAACGACGAGTGTGGTTGTGGGAGGTTCAAGTGCTAGTCCGAGTTGTTGTGTGGAACCCAATAAAAACAAAAACAAAATTGCTAAAAGACAATTCAGATTAAGAGTGGGAAGCTTATTTAATCAAGTATTAGTCAATAAATTACTTTTTTTTTGTGGTGTACATTGCACCTGCTGTCTCGTTTTAATTAATCGTTTTTATTTAAAGATTATTTAGCCAAAGGTACAAAATTAGCCATATATCAATGGTCCATTTTTTTTTGGATATTACTAAAAAATATTTAGAGTAATTATGTCTAGCTCAATGAAGCATGTCACATTAGAAGAGGATTATTGAGGTAGTTTAATTTAAGTAACCATATTAATTTGATTAAAATAATAAATTATGTTTACCCTATGACCTTTTGGCTCTCTCAGTTGGAGATGGTTTTTTGTCACAAGGTTATATTTGGCCTATGGCCCTTTGACCCATCGATTAGAGATTGTAGAAATATGGTATGATATTGTTCATTAAAATATTAATTTATTGTAGGGTTATATGGCTAAAAAAAGCCCTATGGCCTCATTCAGTTGGAGATAACCTTATTTGAGTGTCTTATTGATGTGCATCCAATAAGAATTGAACTTACGAATTTGTCAATTATGTGTTAATAGACAAATCAAAGCAGTGAACAAGTTAATACAATATGTGCATCTAGTAAGAATTGAACATACTGATTCGCCATTTATGTGTTAACAGACAGATCAAAACAACGAATAAGCTAATTCGAAAATTATGTATATAAATATGGATTTGGATCCCTTCCGGATCCAAATTGTGGGGATTCTCACATCTTAATAATTCATCGTTCATCATGCGGTCAGAAATCATTTGACTTTTTTTATTTAAAATTAAACAAAAATGGTACCTAACGAAAACTGACCACACAATGTACGATGAACGGTTAGGATATAGAGATCCTTAAAATCTCTACAAAGTGAATCTGGAGAGGATCATCTTCCTATAAATATAAATTCATGTTAGTCCTTTAAGGGGGCGCTTGTTTACCCTTCTTAGCCTTCACTGGATTGGATTGGATCGTAATCTTGTGTTTGGTGGCTTGCTGGACTAGAGTTAATAAGATTAACTGGGACTTGCTTTCACTAGAGGCGTCGCTAGCCGGTCTTTATGAGTCCCCCCAAAAACCACAGGATTAGCTAGGAACTTCGCTTCGTTGTGCTTGATTCACCTCATCGACCTCGATTTTGACGGCAAAGACTTCAGGCACGACTTCATCTCCGACGCCAAACTCATCAACTGCAATTTTTTTTTTTTGGATAAAAAAATAAACAAAATCTGCAAATTCCCGGCGAACCCACAACCTTGATTTCTCGACGAACCGACGAAAGAACACCTGGTCGATATGCAGAAATGGGTTCTCCATTTTCTTCGATTGAACTTAAATCAGGCCCATAAAACAGAGAGATCGATCTCCGCCTGAAGAACTTAAGATCCGAGAACGATCTTCGCAATTTGAGATCTCTCTGCTTACCTGCAACTCCAGCTCCTGCGTCAAGCGTTTCATATTAGGTGAAACAAAATAAATACAAACGGAGAGAGGGGAGAGAGGATAGTGGTACAAAGGTGAAACGGGAGAAAGGGAGGAGGCGGAGTAGAAAAGGAGGAAAAGGGGAGAGTGGACGGCGACACTGGTGGAGTAAACAATGAGAAACAAAAAATTGAGATGTATAAAGATTAGTGAAGAAGATGACTCTAGAAAAATGGAAAATGATAAAGAAATAATAAATATTAATTGATATAAGATTAAATTAATAATAAAATATCAACAGATATAGATTAAATAATATAATATTATAATCCGGCTTCCTAGTCCGATACTGCAACAAACGCTTCACTAAGCTAGTCCAGCTTAGTCTAGTCTAAGCCAGTCCAGCTTAGTCCCTGCAACTAATCCAGTTCAAGACAGTCCGGTGCAACAAATGTACCCTAAAGGATATAGACAAATTTGCCCTCACCCATACCCTTGATCTTGATAGTTTTATTTATTATTTATTTTATTTTATATATATATGTATATATATATATATATATATATATATATATATATATTCTTTAAGGGGGCGTTTGTTTGCCCTCACTAAAGTGTACTGGACTGGACTGGACTAAGAGTTAGTCCAGTCCTATGTTTGTTCTCGACAGGGATTAGGTTTAATGAGACTAAGTCTCACTCGCTCCGACAAAAACGCTCACTAGGGGGTCTTAGCGAGACCCCCCGAAAAGGAGCGGACTACTACTCCCTACTTCGCCCGATCTGTGCTTCGCTTTACCCCTCCCTGCTTCGCCGTCCTTCCCTTCCCAGAATTGAGCTTCGCCGTATTTCCTCTCCCAGAAAAGTTAGAAACGTCTATCAGAGAGATAAAAAGAGAGAACAATGGAGTCGACATGGTTTTGCTGACGAGAGGAGCATAAAAAATCGGGTAGGAGATTTCGGTTCCGTCTCTGTCCCACGAATTTAACATTAATTAAAGGCTGTTTTTATCCAGAAATTTGTAGGAAAAACGAAATCAAAATATGCGATAAACCCAGAAAATATCAAAATTTGTGATAAACCTAGAAATCTGTGATATGGGATTTCGAATTATAGAAAATATCAAAATCTGTGATAAACCTAGAAATATATTACCTTGGGTTGCAGTGCTCTTCTCCAGAAATTTGTAGGAAAAACAAAATCAAATTTGGAGCTGTAAAACATAAATTATAGTAGAAATTTGATATGTGATTTCAAATTTGCAGTGCTCTCTCTAATTTGAGGAACAAGAAGAAAAACCTGTAGGTTGTTGTGTTGCGGGAAAAAAGATAGAGAAAAGAACTGATGGGGACGAAAGGGGAAGAACTCTCCAGAGAGAGAGGTGGAGTGTCTGCTTTGGAAATAAAAAAGCAAAAGGTTGCTTTA